AGCCGATGTACGGCTGATTTCAGCCGATGTACGGCTGAAATCAGCCGTACCAGCCTGAAGTGAATAGCCGAACAGTGTTCGGCTCACTTCACTTCAGATCGGTCATTCACTCGGCTGCCCTCGACAGCTTAGTGAATAGACCCCTAAGACTGAAAAAGGGGTGGCAGCACTCTGAGTCAGTCAGAGTACTCCTTCTTTGCACAGGGATGATTTCATCAGTGTGCTTCTGCTCTTTTCACTGTCCAATCACAGACTGGACAGGTCCGAAGACAGGCTGTATTTTTCCAAGGATTGCCAACTCCTGCGGCAGAGCAGTTTGATAGTAGATTCCCTGGTATAAGAACCTGAACCTACTGGATAAATGCTGTTTACTTTTTCTTTGCAAACTATGTGGTACTGCATAATGCAGACTAACACTATGATTATATGTGCCTGAGCTAAGTAATAATATGAGCTTGCCTCTATATGCATGCAATTTGTAAAGTTAATAAATAACTGTTTTTCATATAATACAGCATGGTTTAAACAGTATCCATAGCAGTTCAGCTTTCAGGCCAGTTCACCAAGTATGGTTTATCGGAGACCTGGGGCTGAGTTGCGAGGTGGCTATTTTTAGATTCCTTGGGTGCCTAAAGCCAACCTTCTTTGCCTCAACGATCCAAGTAAAAGGTTTGCTTGGCAGCGTACACCAGGAGGAGTTAATGCTTACGTGCCCTCCCTCTCCTACTCAGTCCACCACTGCAGATTGTCAAACATAGAGAAACATTCAACACTCCCCTAGCAACCCAAGTCAGTCCTCAGTGGGGCAGGTCATAAAAACTGGAGCAGACAGAATCTGTAGCTGTTGTCCATAGCAACCAATCAGTTTATTTTTTCAGTTTGTTCAGTTAAGCTTTTAAAACGAAACAGAGAAGCTGATTGGTAACCATAGGAAACTGCTCCAGATTCTGTCTGGACACGTTTTTATGAATCCCCCCACTAAGTGCTGCCATGTGCAGGGCTGTGAATTGGACTGGTGGAAAGAAGCAGGAAAGGTAATTATTATGTCCTCCTGGTGCATACTACTAAGGGGACATGATACGTTGCTTGGTCCAGGCAACATGGAAGTCCTTATTAAGGGGTGAGCTTTGCTGCCACAGTTCCTGATATTTCACCCATCATGGTGTCAGGCATTGGGAACCAGAGTATCACTCATTTTAAGCATTGTATTATTCTTGGCAAATATCAGTAAAAAGGATAGTTTCTCAAACAAGCTGCTATGGTGAAAACAACAAACATACAGGTGAAACTCGAATAATTAGAATATCGTGCAAAGTTCATTTATTTCACTAATGCAACTTAAAAGGTGAAACTAATATATGAGATAGACTCATTACATGCAAAGCAAGATAATTCAAGCCGTGATTTGTCATAATTGTGATGATTATGGCTTACAGCTCATGAGAACCCCAAGAACCCCAAATCCACAACCTCAAAAAAGTAGATTATTACATGCAATCAATAAAACAAGGATTGTACATAGAACAATATTGGACCTCTGAAAAGTATAAGCATGCATATGTATGCAGTACTTGGTTTGGGCCCCTTTTGCAGCAATTACTGCAATTACTTTTGCACGATATTCTAATTATTTGAGTTTCACCTGTACTGATGAGTAAATTGTGTCTCTTATCAAAGTATCAGAAAGACAAAGTATCTTCCAATGTAAGTGTAACCAGATTCAAACCTGCAATGGAAAAATACAGTTGGTATGATTGTTGGTATTTCCCATAGAAACCAATCCGATTCTTGTATTCAGACCTGCATAGGAAAACACTTTACATTACTGGGGGCAGCACAGACAGTTCTTCATTTAGGAACAGTTACAAAATTGCTCCCTTTGTTTCCTCATTCTAAAATAATAGAATCATTTAATTGGTAGTATTTTGTTTATGTAGCTAAATAATTTTTTTCTTCTTTTTCTTCCAGCTGGAACAACGTATATTTTTAGTAAAGGAGGAGGACAGATAACATACACGTGGCCCCCGAACGATCGGCCCAGCACACGCGCAGACAGACTGGCGATAGGGTTTAGCACGGTACAGAAAGAAGCGATATTGGTTAGAGTGGACAGCTCTACAGGACTCGGGGACTACTTAGAGCTGCACATAGTAAGTGATAAAACATGTATTCCTACAGCATTGTTGTATTGTGTCTGCCTAATGTACTATGGCTGGGCTTAAGGATTTAGAATTGATGTGCCAGTCAGCTAATGTCTGATTTGATTAAGGGGCCAGTCTTGACTCACCACTTGAGATGTATACAAATGATGGCAAAATGATTAGGTCCCTGCAGCTTTTTAAGATGCTCATCTACAATGTGCTTATAATAAGACATACTGAGAAGGTCATATCAGATGCCAGATGTTAGTGGAAAGGAGATGGGAGTTTATTCATTATTAAGACTTAAAGGGTCATATACTTAAAGGGTAAAGGCAAACCTGTAACATTTTCCAATTGAACATGCAAGGGCTTTAATGTTCATACTCATGGATTGATTTATATTTTCTGCCCTCCTAGCCCCAACTGTGTTCTGCTGCCCCTTTCTTCCACACCCTTTCTGGGTGAAGAAAGAATATCTACACACTTAAATCATCTCTCTTGTCCACCAGTTCTACCAATTCAGTTCTTGGTGTAAGGACAATGATTGGGACCCATATCACACTAATTCCACCAACCTAGATGCATTAGTTGTGCAGAGGCAACAAGGGAAGATGAATTAACCTTTTGTCGCACATGAGAATATGCTACTGACTGTCAATAGAATGAATGCGAAGGGCTGTTTGCCACCCCTGCCCTAGCAGCCCTAGCCGTAGTCCCTGACAAGCAATCAGACATCAGCTATATTAACTTATACAGTCTGATAGTTATGGGTTGCTTCATTTTGCATTTCATCATTGTTGACCTTGTTGAGCTATAGGCATTGTGCAGAAAATAATCTTCAGAGAGGTAATGCAATCCTATCTTTTTACCTATTACTTTCTGTAAGAGCAGATCTTGGCAGCCTGACAACCCGCTAATGTGCACCCATTTGCTGTTTCTAAGTTATTGGAAACCAACTTGAACCTTGGCCTCTCTGTTGTGATCCTTACAGAACTTTGAGAATTAATTACTTAACAGTAAAAGCAGCTAGAGAGGTCAATGGTGGCTTGTTTTACTGCTCTTTTACTGTTTGTTAAGAATATACAAATACTTTAATGGCCATAGTATGGGCACAAGTGCATTTTAAACATAACTATGTTTCAATTCAACACTTATACTATTACATTAATTGAAACCACTTATCACCAACCCATGTAAAATAAAATCAATATATGTATTATATATTGCTTTGTTTATTTTTTCTTTGGTGTAATATACGCCACATAATTGTAATAGAGTGTCTACCTTATAACTTTTTGCTCTCTTGCTATGTACTCATGTTTAGATTATATCTTGGAGAAAAATGGTTTAGTGTATGTTGGGTTCCCTCTGGACAGCTTGGAGATTTCAAGTTTTCAGAACTGTATTTGTTTATTTTCCATTCTAGCTTGCTTTGAAAGATTTGCACGCTGTTATTTCTCCCGAAAGGGATTCTAAAGTTGGTCCCCTGGACCATCTAACAGTACAGAATGAAAAAAGTGTGATTTAAAGTTAGAGTGGTAGATAAACATGATGATCAGAAAACTTGATGTGTTTCCTTCTTCCAAGCGAGGCTTAGTCAAGGTTACAAACCACACAAAGTATGTTGACAAATCCTGATAATAATCAACCTTGTGCAGTGCTCTTTCCATTATTTTTTTTTAGGTCAAATTGAAAAAGTAATTTTTTTTAGGGTTAAATATGCTACATGTTTTACTTTAAGTCCATGTGTGTTTTGCCAGGTTCACTTTAATGCCACCCCCTGCAGTTGATTATAGTTACATACCCTTATCTCCCTTGATGCTTCTGGGGAAGTGACATACTTGGTACTTCCAGACATGGGGGATTATGTGACTCATTGCTCTACCTCCTACTTGACAGTGCTGGTGCTGGTGCAGTTTAGGCACCAGGTACAGTCACATGGGGTCAGGGAAAGAGTCCCTAGCCCTTTGTGGACTTTGACTAGATTGACCTGGAGCTTTCACATGGCGTCTTTTCACTCCTGTAAGTGAGCAGAGAGGGGAGAAGTGAAGAGAATAAATAAGTAAACCTGTTGCTTTGTTCTGCATAGGAAAAGCACAAGTATACTTAAAAGTAGGGATGCACTGATACCGTAAGCATACCCGGCCAAATGCTCTGATACTTACCTCCGATACCAAAACTTCCAGTCAGAGGAAGATCTCGCTCTGACCGGCAGTGCTGAAGGAGCATAGAGCCGACCTCCTTCCCGATCAGGGAGCCGGGGTTGGGCTATGAACCGACTCCCGGCTTTCTGATTGGCTAAGAAGCCGGCTTCACTTGTTGCTAGGCAGCCTGGCTTCCTAACCAATCCCATCTTCCTGATTGGTCAGAAAGCCAGGCTGCCTAGGAACAAGTGGAGCCAGCTTCCTAGCCAATCAGGATGACGGGAGGCGGGTCATAATGTGCCGACCCCGGCTTGCTGATTGGCTAGGAAGCCAACATCACTTGTTGGTAGGCAGCCTGGCTTCCTAACCAATCAGGAAGCTGGGTGGCACGTCATGACTTGTGTCCCTGTTTCTTGATTGGTCAGGAAGCCAGTCAGCCTCGGCGAGTAAAGCTGTTGTTCTTTCGATAGAACACTGGCTTCACAGGTAATCAGGAAAAGTCATGATCTGCCACCCGACTTCCTGATAATCGGGACACACGGCACCGGTATTGGTACTTGGTATCGGCGAGTACCGGAAAAAAAGTATTGATACTCGTACTCAGGGGCGTATCTGCCGCGAGGCAAACAAGGCGTTTGCCTGGAGCGGCAGATTCGCTGAGAGCGGCGGGTCCGTCCGGGGGG